CCGAGCATTTTGTATCATCATATACGATCGAGTCATGGAATATTTACCTTTATCAGGACATGTTAGAACGCTAATTTAATCAGTTGCTGCAAGACATTGATACGATGAAGTTCGTTGTTATAGACGTACAAGGATTTCCCATCCCCGAATTTGAGGTTAAGGAATTATCCATATACGATGGAAAAGAAAGAAAACCTATACGTTTAAACCAAAGATTTGTTACCACCATCTGCCGATACACCATAAGAAGACGATAAATTATATATTTCACAATGTTCATGGAATCCCTTATAATTCAGGGTATTTACCCTATAAGGCGATGTATAACATAATACAGGAGGAATTGGAAGGTGTCGATATGGTTTTCGTTAAAGGATCTATTAAAAAGGAATTTCTGCTGTGCACGTAAAACGAAATGAATCTTGATCCACCCTGTATAGTGAACTTGGAATTTACTTCTGGACCTGTGCCGAAATTAGAACAATCATACAGTAATTGTAATTATCATAGACTAGAAATATGTTCTTGTACTGTAAATAATGTTCATATATTATATGATTATATTATAAACCTTTTAACTCAATAAATTTAAATCTATTAATATCCAGTATTTTTACTTATTAGCTCATAGATTAATATTAGCTCATTTTACTGTAAACCATTGTCTTGTTCACATCGCTCTCATCATATCGTTATGGATAAATCAAGTGTATTAGAACCAATAATTAATGTAGCATTAAACATTTCCGAGAACCTGGCAGAAAAGCAAATTATTTTCCAAAGTACAAACAAGAAGAAGAAGATTCAAATGTCATATGAAGGTTTTTCAACGTTTCTGGACTTTGTTGATGAAAACGTTAATAGTGGTTGGTGTGATAAATCTATAGAAATTGATGGGCATTTAAACATAACTTATGCTTTTGAAGAAGAAGTGAAAGTGCTGATAATTCAAGATAGGAAATGGAAAATTTATATTGATTGGGAGGATGATTGTATATTGTTATTTAAATACTGTTTACCTATTTTTTATAATTTACTAGATAAGAGAAATGTGGAAAATAAATACACAGTGAAATGAAAAAAATTGTTTTATTTAGAATACTCTAAATCATTTTTTTGTTATAAAATCAGTCTTGTACAATATAAAAAAGTTTGAAAAATGTTTTTCAGTACTGTTAAATACATGTGTAAAATAAATATATAATTGAAAAGCTTAAATCAAACAGTAGACATAGTATAAAACGTCTAATTTTTGTATACAATATAAATATGTTAAAAATAGTAAGATAAAATATATTGAATATAATACTCTTAAATAGAATACACTAAAAATACAAAAATAAAATTAACCCATCCTCTTAAACATGAAAGTAAATAAAAAATCGAAGGAAAATAGAAGTAAAAAATAGCTGCCATTGGTTTCAACCTATAGATTTTCCGATATTTCATCCCTATATTTTCCTAGATCTTTGTGGCCCCATGCGAGCGTGTACTCGGAATTGGGAATAAGAAATCTCTTAATCGTCCGCGTAGGATAAGACTATCTTATTTTTTAGCTCTACATACATATTGTGTAAATGTGAACGGAAAGTATTCATCGTGCGATAGATTTTCGTACCTGCTACATCGACCGTGTTTTTATAATCATCCAAACTAATATCTTGTTTGGTGATGTAGTCAGGCACGCCTTTGGCCTTTTTCGTTAACTCACCATCCACATTTACACAATATGCTTTAGCCCCAGTCCATAAAACTCCCACAAAATTTTTCCTGCATATTCATCCTTCATACGGCCCAACACAGACGAATTTACAGGAATATCGTGTGGATTGTTTTGCGAGTAATTTGACGTATCGAATCTATCCAAATTTTCGCGCATGTCATCATAAAAATTGTCGGTTTGAATTTGTAAAATTAGAGAATCGGTGTCAGTGTAGAGCAGTGAGGCTTTATTACCGTACTTTGGTTTAATATAACTATACAAAAAATCATACATAATAGTTTTGGAAATTTCCAAAATTGAAAAACCTACGTAAATAGGTTTATTATATACGATTTTCTGTTTAGCCATATGTATTGCGACTAAATTCTCGCTAAAAATCGTCAAGTCTTTAAAATGCGGTTTGGAAATGTACGCTTCTGCCCCTAGCTTTCTACCAATATTTTCCCAGTGGGTAACTAACTTAATATTTACCCGTTTCTCCACGTTCTCCATTGTCTTTCCAAATACAGCGTTATTCATAAGTTTGAAAAAATCTTTTTCAAACTTATTTTCAGCGTTATTACGCTTTGCTGTATTTAGATCAATGTAGGTTTTCAACCAGGGAGATTGATTAAATGATAAAATGCGATGAATTTTGGCAAGTTTCAGACCATGGTTCAACGCTTGTTGTAAATTTTGATAATGAATTACATATCTAACTTTAGAATTAAAATTGGGGATTAATTTTGAAACTTTAGATCCCTCTGGTTGAACGGACTCTGGGCAAAAGGGTAATTCGTTGTGTAAATCATGTAAATGCTCCGGATACTCTAAATCGACTTCAAAAACATAACCTATATTAGAATTTTTATCGATATTCATAAAATTTAAGTTTGAAATTTCTTCTTCTGTTAGCCACGTAAAGTTACCTGTTGGTAGATATTGCGACATGGCTGCACCATATAAATTGGTAGCATCCAAGTACATAATGTAGGAAGTAGGTTTGGAAGCGTCGTATATAGACATAAATTTGTTATTCGCGATAGCTTTTCTAACACTACATTGACTGACACCGCCGCGAATCCCGTGTTTAAAGAAATGTATCATGTCTAGATCTGTCAATAATTTCAGCTCGATAGATGTAGTTTTTAAAGCCGCGTCAAAGGACAGAGATGGTGCGGTGAAGTATTGACAAGGATCTAGACCGTATGTTTGTAGACACACCTCTCTAAAATTCTCAAAAACATCAGTTAATAATAGTACGTCGGATTTTAAATATATTCTGAATATTCGCCTAAAGTTTGACATTTAAATAAATTCCATACGTTCAATGCACGCTCGTAATCTCCTTGTTTGATGGCTTCTTTTCTAAGTTCGTTATAGAAGCCATCAATGGGTGGAAGCTTGGTATCGTCTAATTTGGAAAAGGAATCTACGTATGAATATGGGAAAACACCCTTCATACGAATAACCTTAAATTCTTCTTCGTTAGGGAAATACTTCCTAACTTCGCGACACTGTTGAGACGTTAAATTTTGACTTAGTTTATCTAGACTTGATGCCATGAATCGAAAACTGTCCAAAAATCTTAATTTTAAAAATATCTTTTGTTGTCGCTTTTCCTGATCGTTGTCATCCCCCACCATAATATATTTTGTAAAAGAAATATATCTTTCTTTGTTTTGGGGGATGACGTCCAATCGTTCTTCCTCCACAAATTCTTTTATAAAAAGATGGCTGTCAAAATTGGACATGTTATGGAAGAACACAGGAATAAAATTAGGTACTTTAAAATTTAGGTTACAAACAGAGTGAGCCGCACCTCGAGATTTTCCTGTTAGATGACAGTGGTCCCTTACTCTTTCATCTTCTACATTAAATGGTCTTTCGCAAATATGACAGTGTGTCATCTGATAAAACTCGGCTTCTTGTACGCTACTGAGAGGAGACATGGATACAATATTTTTCATAAATCGATTGTAGATTGATTTACAATCAGTCTCTAACCAATCTATGAAAACTTTATGTGCATCAGGTCCCCTAAAAGTCTTGAAAATCGACTGAGAATTATCAAAATCGCATTTAATGTAATAGGCAAAAGAATAAGGAACGTGTTGGTGTGTTTCACCGTATAGGAAATTTCAGGATCCAACTCGTTTTGCTCTGTTTGTATAGGTTCCAAAATAGTTTCAAAATCAGCGTATACAACAAAAGGTACTTTTAATTTTCGTTCGAAATTCGTAAATTTAAGGATATTCTCGGGAATATTTTCACCATATTTATTTTTCTTTAAATTATCCGAAGGAGTTTCAACTACAACGTGACCACAATCGTATTTTTGATGATTTTCTAATTTAATATCTGAAGAAAAATAAACCAAGCAACCATCGCATAAGAATTTTGAATGTTGTTTGCCTGAAAGTTGTTTGGAGATTAGGCGAGACATATTTCTTATTAAACAGTAATGATTATTGCCAGAATCATCACTGATTAATAACAAATTCACACGTCTATCTGTCTTATGAGATCTAGTAAAATACAAAGGACCCACAACTTCAATAATATTCCTATCATGTTTATAACCCTTCTCGAGTCCATAAACATTAATAGAAATATTATTGAGTTGTTCGAATTTTGACACCTGTTTCAAAGATATCGGAAAATCTATACCTGTCACATCCAATTCCTGCTCAAATGGATGATAATTCTGGACTCGGTTGGCGTTCTGAGTTCGGGGAACTGGGTGAAGGGCGGCTAAAACCGACCATACAAAACATTTCTGGTCAGTGTTTTGTATGTTCAATACAGCTTTTTTCGCTTCTATTTCCTTCGGTAATGGTATGTAAGATGAGGCTTTTAGTGGGTTGATTTTATTTACCCTTACATCTACGTGAAGGAGTTGCTGAAGAGTCCAACCTAATGTACACGAAAAAATAATTAGTATGGTGAAAATCAGAAAAAATTATATACTTACCACTATCTTTTTCATTGAACTCCTGGAATCTCCGCTTAATGATAGTGGTGAACTGATCAAACAACTCCTCCAAATCGGTGCCCTGACTTGCTCCCCTGAACCTAGAGCCAAAGGACTTGGTCTCCTCTACCTCCTTTGTCTGCAGGAGGAAACGACCGAAAAGCTCCATACCGACTTTCACATTGCCAAATCTTTCGATTTGGCACCTTACCAACGCAATAATTTTTTCGCGGAGATTAGCTAAAAAATCATTAACGCTGATAGGATCTTTTTTTCGATAAAAAGTCGGTATGTAGCAATTCGGTTTTTGTAAGAAGGTATTAACTAAGTAAACACCTCCTCCTGCATTACCAAGTGTTCTAAAAAAAAATATACGTTTTAATTTAAAAGGTGTATAAAAAAATAATAATAACTTACCGTTATTGAAACCAAGTCTAGCTCTCTTTGGCACCGAAGACTCTGGCTCTACCTGATTGACTAAAAGAAAAAAAAAATATTTAATATAAAATAGATGCTTTCTGTTAAAAAATAATAGAAATATATGCTAAATAGTTAATTAGTTTTAAATAATTGAAAAAAGTTAAAAAATAATAGTTGAATATGTTAAAAATAATTAAATAGTTAGTTTAAAAATAATGGAAAAAAAAGTTAAAAAATAATAGTTGAATATGTTAAAAAATAATTAAATAGTTAATTAGTTTAAAAATAATGGAAAAAAAATATAATTACTTACTGTTAGTGGCAGAGCTCGTCCTTTTTAGGGAGGTCTTCTCTAAATTTTTTGGTTCAGGCTGATTGACTAAAATAGAAAAACCATTTAATATAAAATAAAAAATAAAATAAAAACTCACCATTAGGGGCTCCTTTACAAATCTTCATATGCCTGCCTAAACTATCACTTCTGCTAAAGGATTTCAAACATTTTTGGCACATATCTAAAATAAAAAAGCATTTTTTAAAGCCAGAACATAAAATAAAAATATTTACTTACGTTTACTAAGGCTAGCACCCTCGTCCACGCTGGTTTGGGGCGTGGCAGTTTGGATTTCATTGGCTAAAAAAATAGAAAAAACATTTAATATTGCACAATATAAAAAATAAAATAAAAAACTCACCATTACAAGTCTTCGCATGTCTTGTCAAATTCCTTTTATAGGAAAACAATTCCCCACAAGTGCTGCACAGAAACATTTTTTTTTTATTTTTCACAGTGAAACGACTAATTTCGACGAGAGGCAAGTAGAGACTGACGTGAATTGCGAGTTGTTTGCTGGTACAATGCTAGGCCGGAAACGGAAACGGAAACCGCAATCTAGAAAAACAAACGCGTGATATCATAGTCGTCATACCGGAAGCTGCAAAGTCCGATTAAAAATAATACCGACCGCAAACTCCGATAAGGAATAAATGTTGCACAATGTATTTTTCACCAAGTTTGATTTATTTTATTTTACTTAAATATTCATCACAATGATTCATCTTCTAGAAAAACAAAAGCATGACATCATGAGAGGAAGCCGTAAAGATTGAAGTATTAGATCATTTTACTGTAAACCATTGTCTTGTTCACATCGCTCTCATCATATCGTTATGGATAAATCAAGTTTGATTTATTTTTACCGTTTAAATAAATATTATTATTATTTATGAATACCCAAAAGGCATTATTAATTAAAACTCAATCGTCAAACGTTAAAATTATCATCTGTGTTAAAACATGGAAAGATTTTTTTTTTGGAATATATACCGGGTGTGAAAAAACAATCTATGATGTAAAGCGTTTGTTTTTCATTAACACCTTGTATATAATAGGTATGACGTAAGACAGGTTTGACGTTTGACGTTTGATAGATGACGTAAGACAGGTTTGACGTTTGACATTTGACAGATGACGTAAGACAGGCTTGACATTTGACGTTTGACAGATGACGTTTGACAGGTGCCCCTCCTCCTCGCGATTTGACGTTTGACGTTTGACATTTGACAGATGACGTAAGACAGGTTTGACGTTTGACATATGACGTTTGACGTTTGACAGATGACAGGTTTGACGTTTGACGTTTGACAGATGACAAGTTTGACGTTTGACGTTTGACATATGACGTTTGACAGCTCCCCTCCTCCTCGCGCCTGCGCTGTACCCCCACTCCTCGCGCATGCGCTGTACCCCCACTCCTCGCGCATGCGCTGTGCGCTCTGCTCCACTGCTCCACTGATGGTGAAACCCCCTTCTACCTCTACTAACAGACCTGTTCAGTTTTTTTTCAAACCCGTTCAAAGCTGTTCAAAAGCGGTTCAAAGCAGTTCAAACCCGTTTATTCTTGTTTATTAGCCTATTTTACATGTTCCTAGTTGATTTACGCGCATGCGCTGTGCGCTCTGCTCCTGCTCCTGATGCAGAATCGGCCTTCTACCCCTACTGATCACTTAAGTGATTGCTACTTTTGCATAGTGATCAGGATACAACAAGAAAAACAAACATAAAATAGAATACCCTAGTACTGTCAGCTCTACGCCCTGTACCCCATTCAGCTGAAATTTAGGGTCAGTTTTTCAAGAATTATTCTCTTTAGAAACACAAGAATATGAATCAGGTGGAGATGGAAGTGACTCCAACGATGAAGATTTTAAAGTGTACGATGATTTTAATCTATTTGATCAGATCTCACCTTATTTCCCTTTGTCTACCCATTTTTAACGTAAAGGGAGGTATGCGTAGCTTAAAAACTGTACGTGATAGAGAAAAACTGTGAATATTTTTGAATTTAAAAACCAAAATTAATTAAAAACAAGTCACAAATCCAAGTCAACAAAATTGCTGTTTCCCAATGTCATAAATGAACATGGTAACGAGATCATCGTCAAAGATGCGTTAACTTTAAATAAAAATAATTCAATTACGCTCTAGGTAAACTATCAATTTAATTAATTAGTTTACCTAACAATCTCGAGATCTTATAAAAAAACAAATCTACTGTCGTCTCGTGCAAAAGCTTATTAAAGGTTCATAAAGAATATTTAAGATCTTTATTGGTTCGTTTGGAGTATTCCAAAAATGAAATAACATTAATAGAGGGAGACACAATCAACGAGACACATCAAATACTCCATGGAAGATCATAAACGAAACATTTGCATTTTGATCCGAAAAAGAAACCAAAGACCATCAAAACGCAATAGACCTTAATCCAAATAGTTGGGCGATTTTGTTTCCTCAATTTAGCTTTTGCATTTTCAGATGCAGAAGTAGAACGGGTTTTCAGTGCTATGAATATTATAAAATCCAAACTAGGAATTAAAATGAGAGAAAAGATGGTAGATGCAATTTTAACTATTCGCACAGGGCCTAAAAATGGAGAGAAAAAAATGGCATCCCTATGATTTGTTTGACAAAGTCATTAATATAGTTGGAACTATAAAAAAATATAGTGAACCTTCAACATCAACTGCTACGGAAGTACGGAAATTGATGATGACATTGACATGGAATTTTAAAATTAGTTTTTTCTAAAATTTAATAAAAATTATAGACGACATAGAGTGATTTATCATATTTGTTTTTCTGTTTGGCGAGAAAAAAAAACGGTTTTTGACGGGAATCTTAAGTACACTTAACGGAATTTAAAATTTATTGCTGACAACACTGACTTTATCAGTCCACACCTAACGCAACCATTTTCGTAAGCCGTCAGCTGAAATCGATATAAGTTTAAAGCTATTTAAAATAAAGTTTATTTATTAGAAAATAAATTTGTGCAAAAGCCTTGCAAATCAGTTTGATGACTTTGTGGCTTTTTCATGCTTAAAAGAATTATGAGTTGGTGACGATCCAGTAACTGGCAGTGTCTAAAGAAATGATGCCATGTCCAGATATGATATCGTCTTATGGAGGCAGGCTATATCTGAAGAAATTTAGTGTATTGAGGGCAAGAGGGAGAGATTGAGATTTTTCTTAAAAGACGTAAACACTGGTTAAGAGAATCCCTTTTCTGTGAAAAGTTAAGAGGCCTGTTCAGTGACCATTATATTCGAAAAAAGGGGCGTAAAACTACGAGAAAATGACGGCTGAAATTCATTGAAAATTTGGGAATATCTTAGAGACATGATAATCTTCATCGCTATGTCGTCAAAATTTTGGAAAATTTAGATTTTTTTTTATTTTTGAAAAAAAAATTTTGTGCACAAAAATATTTTTTTAGTGACATTGTTTGAAGTATTTAATGGAAAATCAGCCCGCTAGATTTACCATTTTCCTTGAACTTTTTTTATAAAATTCATCCACTACTTATTAGCGGCAAATTGTCAAATTGGTTTACATTTAAAGATGCTACAGCAAAGTGGCAAGAAATTACTCAAATATTAAATAGTATTCCTGGGCCAACGAAAGACTGGAAGAACTGGAGGAAGGTATGCGTACGATTATAATAAACCTATTCCTATTAAATAAATAATAATGTTTTTATTTTTATAGACATGGCAGGATTTACGTTAGAGAACAAAAATAAAGAAAAGCGAACTGAAAAAACAGTATGGCGGGGGACCTCCTCTAGTTAGTGAATTAACACCTTCAGAACAGTCAATTCTATACATAGTTAAAGTTGTTTCTATCGAAGGACTTAACGTATTAGAATCACCCGCAAACTTTAACTTTGAAAACACAGAGGACATTATAAATGATAGCTTGCTCACTAATAATGAAAACTTTACGGAAGAGATTTTAGTAAATCAAGATTCAAAAGGTTCTCGTCGTCGTCTAAGTCCGTACGTCGCGTACGATGTGTAGTGGCTCTGGTTCTGGCTCTAAGGACCTGACGCCGCACGCACCGGCCGCAAAAGGTTCTACCCCTCGTTTTACCCTGAATCATACTGGAACAAATAATGACTAAAATACCTCTTCAACAAGTGGTAGGAAAGTTCCCAAAAGGTCTAAAATGTCAAATGAAGTGGTGGTAAATAACTTTAATACATTGTATAAACAAAAAACTAAAGTAAAAGAAGAGCTACTAGTTTTAGAAGTATAGTCTAAGAACTACAACAAAAAAATTGAACTTTTAACAAGCATAGCAGTGGCCAAAGAGCAATCTGCATCTTCGTTAGACAAAATTGCAGAGTCCCTGACTTCAACTAATTAAATTTTTCAATGTAAATAGTTTTTTTTCTTTAATATTTGTACCTTTGTATGTTAAAAATGTTTATTTCAGTTTGATGATTTATGGTTGTTTAAATAAAACATTCAAAATTTGTTTTTAACCAAATATATCTATTCAAAATCAAAACAAAAAAAAACACAGCAAGTTAACAAAAATAGGACAAACAGTAATGATGCTATTTTACCAACTTTATTTTATAACAGATGTCTGATGGGGCAAAAAAAGCCACTGCGGATCGTAAATCAAGGTATTGGTTTGTGACACTACATTCTGTGTCTAAACACGTTATGAATTAAATTTTGCCTTGCTGCACGACCCATAACAAGATCTTCATTTATTCTTGCAACAGAATTTTCTGCCAAATTTTCAGAAATATTATCTTGTTGCAATATATCTAAAAATAAAAAAAATAAAGCTGAAGAAGAAAAATGAACCATAACAATTATTACCGTAATTTCCAAAATCAAATTCCTCGTCTCCATCGTCTTCTGGTTCAGGTATGTTATGTTCAATACATAAATTGTGTAAAAATGCACAAGAATTTATAATTTTGCATACTGTTACAGGGTCATAATGTAATGTAATGTAAAACGAGTGTAATTAATATTCTCCTTCACTAGTTGATAAAATAATTAGAAAACGTAGGTATAGGTTAATGATTTCTGAAAATTCGACTTTTCAAGTGGAGAAAGATACGTCAAAATATTTGTCAATACCGGTTGATAGACAGTTATCCCGTGGTCTAAAAGGAATTTTTAAGAATGTCAATTATAAACTTGTGTATAGTGCTAGTAATAATGCGGAATTAATGCGATTTAAATCCCGCAAATTTCCTTAGTTTTCGATGGCGTTCTTTTTATACGAGATAATAACGATCTTATACGACTTCCGGTTATACCAGAAGTAGATCTCAACTTGCTTATTTTAAATAGAATACCCCATATATTATTACACTTTTGGATTCTACGCCAGATTCTAGGTAAATTTCGTGTAATATGTATATCCTATAATAAGTCTAAGCGTTTGACATATTTAAATTTATATGTCAAAAATGATGTTTGCAATCCTTTATTATTTAATTTGGTATAGTGTCATAAGAAAAAAAAATATAAAAAAAAT